TACAGTTAGAAGTATTATTCCATTTTCATTTTGCAAAATAAAATTATTTGAAAAATAAGGCACAAGATATGTTTATATATAACACCTAGTATGTCAGTGTGTAGACAAGAGATTGTAGACAAGAGTTCAGATTTGTAAATGAAAGGGTTTATGCACTTATGTTTTAGTTTTGTTCTTCGCAATTAAATCAGTTTAATTTGTGATTTTTTTCAGGCTAAAATTTCATGAGGATGAGTCCGAGTCAAGTCACAAGTCATTTAAGGACGAGTCCAAGTCAAGTCACGAGTCATTTAAAGATGAGTCCAAGTCAAGTCACCAGTCATTTGAGAGCGAGTCTGAGTCGCAAGTCATTTAAGAGCAAGTCCAAGTCGCAAGTCATTTGAGGGTGAGTCCGAGTTGAGTTGCGAGTTACTTAAGAGCCAGTCCGAGTTGAGTTGCAAGTTGTTTAAGGATGAGTTCAAGTCAAGTCACAAGTCATTTAAGGGTGAGTCCAAGTCAAGTCATGAGTCTTTTAAGGGTGAGTCTGAGTTAAGTCACGAGTCATTTAAGGTGCGAGTTGAAGTTGATTTGTGAGTCGGTTAACACGCAGTGTGAGTCGAGTTCCCTTCTCTACGCACTACACAATGCACACTACACATTGCATTCTACATAGTGTGTATTATACATTATATAGTGTGTATATTATACACACTATATAATGCACATTGCATACTACATAGTGCATACATTATGCACACTATATACTGCATAGTGCACACTACATACTGCATACATTATATACACTACATACTGCATAACACAAAACATATGTAATGCACATAACATACTACAATTTGCATACTGCATACTACATACTGCATACATAGTAAACACTTTATACTGTGTAGTACACACTACATACTGCATACTACATTCTGAAAACCACCTACCTAAGTACTACCAATTACAAATTAGATACTGCATATATAATATGCACTATATGCTGCAAAGTACACAATTTATATTGCATACTGCATACTACATACATAATACACTATATGCAGAGTAGTACATACATACCGCATACTGCATACTGCATACATAATACACACTACATACTGCAAATGACATACTGCATACTACATGCTATTCCCTATGTACCACATAATAGCCCAGGTACTACATGCTATTCTCCTGCTTAATTAGTATTATATTCAAGTCAGTATAGAGTTAAAAATTAATAAGGAAAAAGAAAAAAATAAGTGAAATCACACAAATATTTACAATGTTGACTTTGTTGAATAAAATTAAACATATACCTGTTTTTTATGGGTGTTTTTTTGTGAATCAGTGCTGAATTATGTATGGCCAGGCCAGGAGGCTGTTCTCCAAGCATTCTCCAACTGAACATGAGAGGACATTCAGTGGGCAGCAGTCTGCCTGCTGGAGCTATGTGTGTTCATGGCTCACTGACAACTGCAGCTTCAGCCGTAACTCCTGCTGGGCAGGTAGAGCCGTGCCAGGTGTGCTCTTCAGGTGTGTTCTCTCAGGGCCTGGTTGCAGGGAGCTCTCCATAGTGCTGAACTGGCATGTTCTTCTGCCAACCTTCACCAGGGTCATATCTTAATTGACCTGTATACAGGGAGCAAGCCTGTTCCCAGCTTGTGGACCACCATGAACCTCCATTTCACCACTTTAATTTGCAGAATGAAATTATTTGAAAGCAAAAGAAAGTAATTAATGTACACAGATATACATACATATGTATAAACACACAAACACACACACACACACACACACACACAACAGCGATATATATATATATATATATATATATATATATATATATATATATATATATATATATATCACTGCTGTCAGAAGAAACCTTGTATCTCAATTTTTGATGTTATGACTTTTTAAAGATACAAGGTTTTCTTCCGACAACAGCGATATATATATATATATGTATATATATATATATATATATATATATATATATATATATATATATCGCTGTTGTCGGAAGAAAACCTTGTATCTTTAAAATGGTAACTTTACAGGAGAACCTGCTTTACTTTCAATGTAAGTCAAAGGAATATATATATATAAATGTGTGTGTGTGTGTGTGTGTGTGTGTGTGTGTGTGTGTGTGTAGTTCCGTTTTGTATTTCCCCTTATATTTTTCAAGCATTACCATTTTATACACTATTATAAAAATGATTCAAGTTATTTTGTTATGAAATGCTGAATGTTCCAATTAAAACACAATGTGAAGATTACAACACACTTCAAACTGCAATTTCAAAACCATTCCTCTCCAATCTTTTTGTATGTGTGTCTGGAAGACAGTGTTACATAACATGATTGTGCTGTAAAATGCACAATTCATTGCAAGTCTTGGTGTGTTAAGGGGACAGGTAAGCCTACTTCAGTAGGGCTTTACAGGGCTTTAAACGTCTCTCTGATGTAATCATTTATACATACAACATTGTACCTTTCAAAGCAATCTTCAGTCTTCAGGCTTATGTAATCACTCTCTAAATGCAATGTTCAAAACCTGAAACTATTTGGTACAAGGTAAATTAAAACAAGTAATCATTAACTATAAAAAGGATTTTTTAATTATGTCGCTTGGCAGAAACAGGCTGTTAATGAATCAGACTGCCTCATTTTGATAAATCAATTGACTCAGTTCACAAGTTCAACTGATTCAAACTCTTTTAGAGCGTCTGTGTTTTTGGTAAAAGACCTCAAACAAAATGCAAATTATAATATTCTGCAGCTTAACATCATAAAATCATAAGGTTAAACACTATATTGTAACATATTAAGAACTACATTAATTTGCTTGCATGCTTTCAACAGCACGATGATCTTTCTGAGAGCAGGAGTAGCAGACATCAGACTCGCTCTCTAAAATGAACATCCTCCCTTGAATAAGGAAGAAATGAGAACCAGATGAGATGAGAATATTGCCTTGACTCGTCTTATCTCTGTAATCATTTCAGGTTCGATATGATTTTTTATACTGAGGTCAAAATTTGCTTTGACTTTCATTATTTTATGTGGTAACAATATATTTATTCTCCAGAGTTGAATTATCTCCTTCATGAATTAGTTTGCCGATTAAAGTTTGGTTTGCCAAGTGCAAAATAGTGATCTTATAAAATCATGCAACTGACCTCTAAACTATACTGTACTGAAATTGTTGCACACTTAAAATGAAATTACACTGACTTTTCAAATAATGCAATAATAATTCAATAATAATTCAATGGTTGAGATGTAAAGAAAGTCATTCAGAGTGGTTTTAATGTGAAATGATTAGTTGTAGAGAAACTTGGATTTCTTTACAGTGGTGGTAATAAGAACCAGAGTTCACTCTACAATCCAAATATCCTAAATCTAAAACCACCAGTCAACCAACACGTGTCTTCTGAGTTTTTATCAATGATGGCAAAACAATGGAAAATGTGAAAAAAAAAGTTTTGGGGAATATTTTGCCTTACAACACCTTGCATGTACCTCTTCACCATGAATGTAAATAAAAAATATGTTTTAGGCCAAAACCTTATTGTAAAACAATATTTTAGGCGTATTTGTAACCATTTCTTATAATAACTTTCTGTGAGAGGCATTAAACTCATATAGACGTCTGGTTCCTATCACTACCACTGTGAACAATTCTTGGTAAGTTTCTTACATCAAACCACTCTGATTTACTGGTAACACTGTAAACACACAAGTGAATGTGGTTTTGAAAAAAAAAAACAGAAAAAATATGGATGCACTGAATCGTTGTGTATGTAGATCATAACCTATATCTGCCTACGAGCTCTAAAACTTGCACTCTATTCTTATACTTCACCCCAATAAGCTAATTTTAATACCACTTCACCTTCGTTTTAATTCCCTTTTTTATATATATTAATACTAAGTATTTTTCACCTTTAACTTTGTTTTTTTTTATAAATAGTTATGATTTTTTATAAACAGTTATGATTATGATCACTGTTTTGTGATGTCACATTGTCACAGACAATCTATTTACGTATTGGCCTATTCAGCTTATTACACTTTAGCTCTGCCCATACATACCTGCTGAAGTTATAAGGAATGTTTCAGCCTGGACTGCTTTTTGAACCAAGGACAACAGGAGGCACCCAATCAGAACAGAGCTTATTTACATATATCAGTCTTAAAGGCACAGTAACAAAAAGAGCCTGTTTGAATTTAAGGAATAAAGAGAGATAAAGAGACATTTTTTGGTACATAAACCCACACAAATATTAAGTGGACCTCAAAATACACTCCATTCTTAGTGCACTGTACCCATAATAAGCTAATTTAAATAAATTATTAGCTTATACTTTAAAAAGTCCTTTGTTTTATTTCCATTTCTTAAATAATGAATACTGTAAGTATTTTGCACGTTCAATATTTTATTGTTTTTCACTCTGAATCACTTTGTCTTTATTTTTCCTTTGCCTTTATCTATCTAAAGCACACTGAATCGCCTTTGTGTATATGTAATGTGCTGTATAAATAGCCTTGCCTTGCCTGTGGACCATGAGGACGGCCTGTGAATCAACAGGTCGCTGAATCTGACGTTCGATTCATCAAATCGAACCGTTCAGAAGAATCGGTTCGCTAAACCGAATCGCTGCCTCAGCGAGCCCTCACTGCGTCCGCCTGTTCTCGCGAGAGTTGGAGCCTCGGCGAGCCGCTCGCTGCTGCCGCTGCTGCTGCTGGATCCGAGTGACGGAGGCTTTGGGGGTGGGGGGGCCAGCATGAACATGTCGGTGTGGTGGGGGAGAACCGGGACGCTGCCGATGGCCCACAAGGGGAGGACCTGCACCCATCACCTTTAGAAAAGAAGCGGACCCGCCGCCTCTCTCATCCTCGGGGCTGCGTTGCAATGGACCTGGCAGGATCCGCAGCGAGCCTGTGATTTCATGTGTGTGTTTTTTTTTTTTTTCTAGCCTCAGCATCTGTGCATCTGTGCATCATGGTAGACTGCGAAGCCACAGCGATCCGGCCCTGATGCAGAGCGCCGTCGGGATGCAATGCAACACGGCTGGACGGCAGTGGCATCATCGCCTTACGCACGTAGGCTAGTGGAGCCTCGCTCGGTTCAAACTCGGTCAAATGGAGCTGCTTAGACGCTTAGACTGAGTGATCTGAGCCTCCTCGCCTGCTCTGCGTTTACGCGGCTTTATTTCAGTCTTTTTCTGGTCAGCCTGAGAGAGGAAAGTAGCCTAGACGTCAAACCACGACCACCATCAGCACCAACACCACCACCACCAACAAAAACAACAACACAACCACACCACTGCTCGCAAATTATGGACGAGGAGACGATGACCAAAAGCGAGGAGCAGCAGCAGCAGCAGCAGCAACAGCAGCAGCATCATCTGAGTTTGCAAAAAGCCCTGCAGCAGTGCGAGCTGGTGCAGAACATGATCGACATCAGCATCTCCAGTCTGGAGGGTCTGAGGACCAAATGTGCCACATCCAACGACTTGACACAGAAAGAGATCCGGACGCTGGAGGTAAGCAGCCCCCCCGCCCGCCCCCCGACCCCCACTGCCAGCCCCTCCGGTGCATTAGGCTGGGGCAGCAGGTTATGTCGATGCATTTCTTTCTTTTTATTTCTTTATTTCTTTGGTGTGGAGGTGCAGAGAGAGAGAGAGAGAGAGAGAGAGAGAGTGGGCTCATGAAAGCGAGGGAGCTGCAGTGAGGCTAGAGCTTGCGCATTCTGCAGGTGGTGGTGGTGGTGATGGTGGTGGTGTGGGTAAAGTAAAGAGGGGGGGGCAAAAGAGGGGCTAGTTCGCGTCTAACATGGAAGGGCCTTTTGTTTGTTGACATCGTGTCATCTTTTTTTTTTGTGTGTGTGTGTGTGTGTGTGCGTTATGGACTGTTTTATAACACTGGATTTTTCCAAATTGCGTTATGTAATGATATTAAGGTGCCAGATAAGTGGACGATGGCTCGCTCGTCCTGTCGCCTTTGCCCGGTCCCTGCTGGGGCAGTCCTGGGTCCGGGGGCGGGCATGTTTGAAGCCTGCGCCGTGGGGGCTTCCACCTTCGTCCAAAAAATGTCCTCTATTCGAGGCCGTTTGTTGGCTTTCAAGACCACCAGGCGTGATTTGAGGCACAGCGCGAGCTACACGTACCTAGCCTGTTAGCACAGGCCACAGGGCCTTTGCACAAACTCAACCAGGAGAGGAGCTGGGAAGACACTGTGGGCCTCTTCACATCGTTTTGCACTGAGCCTGCTGCAGTGTTTATGGGCTCTCCTGGCTGGTTGAAGGTGCTAGCTCAGTGCTCTGCCATCTCAATATGAATCTTCTCTCATGTTAAATATGAAATGGGTGATTCCATAATTGGGATGCCCATAATTTAGCCCTTACTTTGAAGAATGAAACCTTTTTTGGCATTTTTTATTAGCATTTTTCAATATTAAATCTAAAAAAACAAAAAAATATCTGATTTTGACAAGGTTGATGACAGTGCCTTAAAGAGCCCATATCATGGAAAAAAACACACTTTTTTCGCAAAACCAGCCTGGTTTTAATTCACTGTTTTGTGATGTCACAGAGTCACAGAGAGGCCATTTACATATCCGCCTATTCAGCCTGCAGCACTTCAGCTCTGCTCATATCTGCTGAAGTTATAAGGGGTGTTTCAGCCTGGACTGCTTTGTGAACTAAGCGTAACACAAGGCAGCCAATCAGAACAGAGCTTATTTACATATATCTGTCTTGTTACAGTAACATAAACAGTCTGATTTTAAGGGATAAAAAGATAAAGAGAGGTTGGAACATGGTCATATGAAAATTGATGATATTTTTTGGTACATAAACCCACACAAATGTTATTAAGAGGAACTCAAAATGCAAAATAGCACAGCGTAGAATTTAGCAAGCTAGAACTTGCATAAAATTAGCGAATATGGTGTAGTAAATGGTTAACTAGCATCCATGCTAATGGTGTTAGGATATTAAAGACATTCTATAGACTTACTTGAAATACACACATATATATATATATATATATGTATACATATATATATGTGTAAATATATATATAAATATAAATATATATATATATATATATATATATATACATATATATTTTGTATAATCAATACAATCAATATAATCAATAATTTACTTTCAATCTAAAATGTATGTAACAGGGTTGCACTTAAAAAAAAAGTAACCTTATTAGCCAATTTATAATAAATGTGCTTTTGTTCAGCCCATGATCTTCAGGAAATTTGGATGCTAGGGGGACTGTGGTGGCCAGGCCCCTAAAATTATTGGGCCCCTCACATACTGGCAAAACTGTGCACCCACGACTAACAGGAAGATCCAGTTTCTTAGGACATAAACTACACTGCAAAAGTCAGACAGATACAGCGTGCCATTTATTTAACTTACACTCTAAACAGCCATTAATTACAAGTTACTCATTTAGCAAAGCAGAAAACTTGTTGTTGCTGTCCAAAGTTTACAGGAGAAAGTAAGTTTTACTTTTAATGTAAGTTAATGTAAAGAGATTTTATTCCAAGGAATTTTGGAGCATTTCCACTGGGCCATTCATCAGGAAATTGTGACATGTGACACAATCAGCAAAAAATGATAATATTTCTTTTGTTCTTATATATATATATATATATATATATATATATATATATATATATATATAACAAGATTGTGCAGAACCTTCAGCAACTACACATAATATCAACAGTTTCAGTGTTTAGTGTGTCCATCTTTTGCTTCCATTTCCATTTTTTTTGGCCACCCACTGAAAGGTTCTTTAAGGAACCAAAAGTGGTATGACATCATGCCAAAGAGCCCTTTTTTGGCCTCTTCATTTTTACAGCGATTATTTCAATGTTTTTGCCAATCTGGAAACAGTTACTTAATCTATGTGAAGAACCAGGGACTTAAAAAAGGGTTTTAGCTTGTAAAAAGTTCCTGAGATGGTGAGGTTCTGGAATCATCTGAAAATGAGAAAGCCTCTGAGTTGTTCTTTAGGGTTTTGTTGCACTCTGAACATCAAAGCATTAATATTTGAAGGTTTCTGGAGTCTGTGGTACAAGTACTGGGGTTGAGTGGCTCAGAACTATAACCACATATTGACTGGTCAGGATCTTTTTTACATGCCAGAGATACGAGAGTAAATTACTTTTTTGGGATATTGTTTTTAGATAGTATACCTATATTTTTTTAGATAGTATACCAAAAACTCAATTTTAGAGTTTTTCTGTAACAAAACCTTTTTGAAAGATTTCTAAGTGGCACCAAAAAGGATTCCCAGACAGGTAAAAGATAAAACAAATCCACAAACTGCTATTTTGTGAAAAAAAAATGAGTTTTAGATTCATTTGAGTATTTATTTTGGCTTAAAGAAGGAATCATGATGGAATTTAAACAGAATTCAAACTTTTGATGTCATGAAGGTTTCTGTAAAGTTTTAACCAGTGTTCGTTTTAATCTGATGAACAATGCTAGTGTGGCTCTGTTGACTGTTACACTAAATGTGCCAAAAAGTGTTCTTTGACATGATACCATAGAACAGGGGTGTCAAACTCAACGAGTAAAAGGGCCGCATTAGAAAATCTCAACAAATCTATGGGACAGATTTTTAATTTAAGTTGTGCTATAACCTGAACTGGCTGTTGTTTATTCAAAATATGCAAAAACGTCAACAGTAGAATATTGAAATGAATACTTGAAATACTCAAAATTAAAATGCCCACAGTCTTTTAAACCTACCTATCTGCTTGAGCTAGACACCTGGCATCCTTTCTTTGCTGCAAGTTTATTAAAACTTGAGCTTAATTTCTGAGCTGCTAAGCTGCTGAGCTGACGTTAAGTGTTTATATTGGCTGAACTGCAGCTGAAATGCAGCTAGTGTGTTTGGTGATATGACTGGTGTGGAATTATGTAGAAATATGTAGAATTAAGGTGTAACCTCTGTCCCATAGATTGTTGTTGGGGTAGGAGAGTCAGAGCACGCTTCACGTTGCAGTGCATGCTGGAGACTGTAGTGCAGCGCATTGTGAAACAGGATAATATTAATTGAAAATTAAAATACTTCTGCGTGCCAGAGAGGATTGTGTCATGGGTCTGATCTTGTGTTTGACACATGGGCCACAGAAGAACCAATTTTTGGTCCCCTAAAGAACTTTGCAGTAGATTGTCCTTAAATCTGCACTCAAATTTTTATGGTAGAATTGAAAGAATTAGCACTACTAAATCAGGAGAAAGAAAAACACACTAAAATGTGGTGTGTTTGCACTGCTGCGAGTTGCCCTGTAAAGCTGAAATAGTAGTTTAAACGTCAGGTCAGATTTGAGTTTTTCATACCATGCCATTATTTCTTTGCATATTAACAGCAATTCTTTCAACACATACGCAATCATCTTATTCATCTGCTCAGGGAAGGGGTCTGAAGCACAACCAACATTACAAAATGCTCTTCTGCATGTTGCCTGCACTTGCACATTTCCATCAGAGAGGTCTTCAAATCCCTAAAACTTACATAGTGCAGCTTTAAAGAACCTTTTTGTGAGTGAGATATGTGTGTGTGTATAAAGAACCTTTTTAAAGTTTAAAGAACCTTCACATAATGTAAAGGCTCTATACCGCCTACAGTTTTTTTCTTCAGACTGTATGTCCAAGCCAATAAAGATAAGAGAGTATTTCTTTTTAAAGTTAAACTCTTTTCATTGTTAGTTCCTCCTCTTGGTCATATTAAACACAATCCATTGTAAGGGTCACATGACAAATTTCTTTTTTATTTGGTCAAAAAAGTCATGACTATATTCAAAAAAGGGGTGGGGCCAGGGGCAGCAAGTGCTGCAGTTTGAAGTTTGAGATGTGCATTGCAAACATTTTTGTTGTATTTCAGTAAGTTTCAGCCTCAGGCGCTCACAGATCCACAGAAGGGCACAGACTGTCTGATGTAAACCGCACACCAAAATCACCACAGCTCTGAGTCTCACCTCTCACAGAGAATTTAAACTTGCACTGGCTATCTGTGCGCTGTCATATCAGTCTGGTGGGAAGCAAATGATTGGTTATCAAGCTAAATGCTAGTAGCAAGCAGTTGCATCTCTTCACACCAGTAAACTTATCCTGTTTTCAAAAATTTTGTTTGAAGCTGTAGGTTCCTAGTAAATGGGATGCATTTGTTAAGCATTTTATTTTTGTTTTAGTTTTTTTTTTTTTTTGAATAATTCATGCTAAACATTCTATGATTGGTCGTTTTGCCTGTCAGAAATATGACCCCTTCCTATCAGAGATGGCTGTTCTTAAAAGCTACCCGATCTGTCTTAAGAACCTGTAGCCTCCTATGCGGGTGCTGGAGATATTGAGGGAGTCGAGTAGTCCTTCACAGCTGACAGTAGACTTTGTCTGGGTCTGACTCCATGTTCATTTTTTTGTGATCCAGTTAATACCCATGGATAAAATCATGTCTTGTCCACATTTATGTCTCAGTCAACTGCCCTGTTTCACTCTCAAATAGATGTTCTG